AATATGACCGAGTTGCGAAAACAAGGTCAAGATTGTATACTGTTCTTCATGATTTCTAATTGGTTTGCTAAAGCCTCTATGTTTTTTATATTTGTTACAATTATAACCACCAAGACTCTGAGGTGTGAAACACCCTTAGGCTATTTATATCTTACAATCCTTTAAAAAAGTGAATTACATTTTGTTACTTCAAATAACCTTAACTGATTTGACTCAGAACTTTTATCTTTATTGCTTTTAGGTTTAATTAATATATATGTATACCTATATTCTAGTGTTTAAAAAATCTCGCCTGCCAATAAGTTTTCGAAAACTCGTAGTTTAAGCTAACCTATCTTTATTAAACTGTTCTTATCGTCTACTCCTTGAATATTTATACTTTAAGCAATGCATTACACTTTAAATTCTTATTCTTTTTTCCAGATTACACTAAATCGTCTTATTTTGGTGTTAGAAAAATCACCTGACCCGAAGACTATTGAGTTTCAAGAGGAAACACTCGGATTGATTCTTGGAATTTTAGCTTTCTATCTCAAGGGACAGAAGGTAATAGAATCTATTTTTAAACTTAGCTCTTGTTTTTTATTCTTGTTCATTAAATTGTATTTTCTTTTGTAATTTAATATGATTATATATATCTATATTCTGTTTTTTTTATCTGCTAGGCTTATAATTTGCTGGATGTCATTTACCAATGTATTGGGTGTATTAGCCCATATTTTAGAGTGGCTTATTGATTGCGGAATTTCCCGATACATCTTTAATCCGTGAATTGATTCATATACAGTATCCTCCAGGGATTTTATTATCCTCGCATACAATTTCACTGCTAAGACGCACATCTGAACAAGCAGGCTTGTACTATCGTAGCAATTGTTTGAAGCTTACTTACAGATATTTCAATAATTACGAAGTCCCCTTTCAAAATGTAATAACACGATTATACAAATTCGTTTGAAATTACTTAGTTCATTTTAGACAAATAATATCACGAGAACTATCCTGAGTTCTATGGAGAAAATAAAGGATTAACGAATTTTATGTGTGGTAGTCAGGCGTCCAAGGCTAATTGGCTGTAATATAGATGAAATTGGTATGTATGTATCAGTGATGAAAATGGAGGAGCCGAGGATAGTGGAGTAAAGAGACTGGAACAGCAAAAGAGAAACAGCCTCTGGAGTGGTATGGCTAGCATGAAAGACACCAATAAGGCGACGTTGCGAAGGCTAAGCGCCGACATGGCGTTGATTTGTATCCGGTCTTGCGGCAAAGTGCTTCTGCAGACCAATGGTAGTCCTATATACGTGGACTCAACAAAACAGTCGCTATAGGGCTTTGTCTAGGACTGAGAAGCCAAGTGAGTGTGGCCCCCCTTACGCCGAGTTCCATCCGACTTATACCATCGCAGATTCCAAGGGGGAAGGAGTGGTGAACGTACACCTGCGAACAAGCCTGCGATTGACGTCCAGGATGGGCTGGCTCAATCGATGCTGCTAGGCTGTCATATTTATGGGCTTCAGGCTGTAGTTAAGATAAGCATTTGGACCTTCCATAGGCAATTGACACTGAATGATGCTAATGCTGAAGCGAGTGGGGCGTCGCGCGAATGTGTTAGTTATCACACAGGATAATTCTATTTGGCTAATATGCTTCCTGTTTATTACCTTGTACTAACTAGCTGTTGTCGGAAGGGTGATTAGTCTTGGTATCAAAGATCATAATTTAATGTGTTAGATAGCTGGCAAGAGTTGATTGGTTGGCGATCATTTAAGTCAAGATTAGTCGTGATCAGAAGCTTTCTTGGCGTAATGTGATTCCTGGAATATAGATGCGAGTGTCATGTCATGAGACTAATTGCTCTAGTGAGGAATAAATTAGCTCATTACAAATGTTTCATTATTGAACTAATAAAATTTGGCCTTTATCAGCAGTAAATCAACTTTAATAGCAACTCCAACTTACAACAGCCTTTATCTAATTTGTCCCTAACTACGGTTAATATTTCACAGTTTGGTCTTGGGATTACGCCTCTTTATCTTTATTCGTATAA